AAATGTGGTGTATTTAGTCAAAATTAGGTTTACAAGGTGAAAAGGACTTACAGCCTCCCACACACTGATATAGATCTCTCACTGACTGTAATGAGGGAGAAGGAAAGAGAGTGAGGAGAGTGCTTGCGGAGTACATTGACCCTTACATGAAAGACAAGACTGTTCTTTTATTTTAATAAGGTTTTTTATTAATAACATTATTTATAAATGTGTACACAGTAAAAGGGAAAAAAATACCTTTGCTAGCTAAAAAAAAAAGGCTTAAAAAAAAAGTGATTCTCCATTTGTACAAAGTCTGGTGGAGTTAAAAATAAAAATGTTTACAGACTTCCTTTGACCAAAAAGTGCTGTGAAAAAAAAAGAAGCTCACTGCTTTACTGCTCCTCCTCATCCAGTGACCGCCTGAATGAATATGGAGGAGATTGTTGCTGTGGGGTGTGTGGTACAGAGGGGTTTAATCTTGGTGTGGCCGTGTGTGGCCTTCGGGGTGGGTATGAGGGCACCTGGAAGTGTCCATATCCACTGTTGTTAGTATGAACTTGCATGAACTGGCTCATCAGGGAAAGGCCATTCTGTACAGTCACATTAATGTTGTCCATGGTGTTGTTCATACGATCCATGCTGGCTGCGCTGCGGCTGGTTGCTTCCTCCATTAAGTCCAACATCCGGCTTTTTAATCGCAGCTCTTCCTACACCGCATGTTCAGCTGGAAGCTTCCTCTTCATGCGGTCACTTCTGTGGCCGTCCAGCCGTGCCTATAATAAACCAGAGAAAGTTTGAATTAATACACAATAGGACCATAGCCACCAGATAACAGAACACAAAAGGCATGTTGTGAAATAGCTCTCAATACATTTTACAAATAAAACAGCTCTAAATACTTTCTAATTTTACCAAGCTTAAACCGGTTCAGTTTTTCAGTGGAAGGTACTGCATCATAGTATATAGCAAGCCCTTTAAGATTGAAGTCATGAACATACCTGGAGCAGATCCCTGCGATGACTCACAACCGCAGCAGTTGGCAGAGTTCCGTTGGATCTACTCGACTCTGGCAAATCCGTGGAATGCTCCAAACTCGGGGATGAACTTGGTCCGGGCGACGACTCTTCCATGTCGAACAAGTCCCCTTGTACCTGTTTTAGTTTCGCTGTAAGCTGGCCCTGTGAAATTGTGTTCTTCTCGTGAGGGAAATCTTTTTCAGTCGGGGTCCTCGGATATTGCGCCTGAAATAAGTCGGCTATCTCCGTATATTTAGGCTTGCAGGACTCCCAGTCTACATTATCCTGTATTTTTGTCGTCTTATACTCAAGTGTTACACTTAAAAGAAGTTCCACCTCGTCGTCGGACCACGAAAATAGCTCCTTTCTTGCGCGAATAACAGCCATCTTCGTTTGTTTGTTTTGTTTGTGCCTCACACACATCCGGGGGGGATCTTATACTCGCTGCTTTTGGTGTATTTTGTGGCGGAAGTTACAGCGCCACTTACAGTCCCGCCATATGTACTACAGCTTTCGAGCGGTCTCGTGTGGAAGTACAGCGCCACTTACAGTCCCAGCATATGTACTACAGAGTTTCCAGCGGCCTCGTTTGAACAGACACGTTAAATGAAACAAATGCATGTGAACGGAAGACTTTTTTGAATACGAATACTGTGCATAAAACGCAAACGGCCTCGTGTGAGCGGGGCCTTAGTCTCTTTTGGGAGTTAATATTCAGATGTGTTTCCTGCAGAAACATCACATCCGGCTTCAATGATTTTAAATGGGCAAATATTTTACTCTGTTTCACCATGTTATTTAGGCCTTTGACATTCCAGCTGATGAAAGAGAATGCACCTTGTTGTTTGTCTACAGCATCAGGAGCCATAACTCTGCCACTGGATACATGGTCTGGACATGAAAGCTGGCAAAATCTGAACACATATGTGCAATCTTGGGTTAAGGCATGAAACAATAAAAAAACAAAAAAATACCATAAAACAGACAAAGCTAAAAAAGTAACAAATAAACTCTTACCATCCTGGATCCCTGGGCTGGTCTTCTTAAAACCTGAGACTGCCCTACAAACACTCATCCTACTCTTAGGCATATAACACGTCAAGACTAGCCTAAACTCTCAACTGAACTGTGCAAGGGCAGAACAATATGAATTTAGATGAAAACATGGCCCCCTCTCATAGCACCGACATTGCTGCACTTATGTGGTCATAACTTAAAACAGCCTTAAATACCTACAGTTGGGAGATACAAACAGCTATAACTTAAGAAAATCTGCATTGTTGTCATTTCCCTGACTCATCATTGTCCATAGTCCACACATAAAGCGCAACCAACTGTAGTGTAATTAACAGTTAAACATTTAGTCACTGTGACACAGGCTGTGACATTATCCTGCAGCTCCAACAGTACCTGTCATGGCCCCAATATTGATTATCACTCTCCCTCCGGGTCCCGCGGGTGGCAAATCCGTCTCAATGTAGTGCCTTTGCCTTGGTTGGGTCTTCAAATGACTTTTGCTCACCAGCTGAGGTTGTGATTTGAAGTGTGGCTGGATACAGAAGACCATACTTCACACCAGGGCATCTGCGCAGCAGCCCCCGGACCTCAGTAAAGGCCGCCCTCCTTTTCCTCACCGAGAGCGTGTAGTCCGGGTAGATGTAGAAACGCTTGCCGTTGTGGAAGATGGGCCCCCGCTCCCATGGCTTTCCGTATAATATCTGCTTTCTCCTGAAAGTAGTGGAATTTAATGATGATCGGCCTCGGGGCATCCCCATCAGCTGGTTTCGGCTGTAAGCCCCTATGTGCACGGTCAAGCATCGGTGTGCAGTCCAGGCTCAGAGCATCCTGCAGTAGTTGAGCTATGGCTTTCTCTGGTCGAATATTTCCAGCCCTTCCGCCACACCGATTAGTCGACAATTATCTCTCCGTTGTCGAGACTCTAGATCTTCGGTTTTGTCCACCAACCTGTTTACTTGTGAGGACAGCGTAGTAACTTTAGCCTCGAGTTCCACTACCCGGTTAGCATAGCAATTAGCCCCCTCCTCAAGGTCTTCAATGCGCGTTACGAAAGTTGCGTTCTCCTTCTTAACATCTTCAACAACCTTAGCAAACTCTGTGCGCACATTGCAGATTTCTGATCTTAAGTCCCTCGACAAGTTGTCTATTTTGGTGTGCAATTCACCTACAGCCGCCGTCACCGTTGAGTCAACGGACAACGGACAACTATGCTTTATATGTTTGTTTATTATCATTTGAACAATGACAAATATTCGCCTCAATTCAACCTGGAACCTCTCTCTGTCTGTCTGTCTGTCTGTCTGTCTGTCTGTCTGTCTGTCTGTGTGGTGTGTGTGTGTGTGTGTGTGTGTGTGTGTTGTGTGTGTGTGTGTGTGTGTGTGTGTGTGTGTGTGTGTTGTGTGTGTGTGTGTGGGTGTGTGTGTGTGTGAACACAAATTAAAACAATTCCTTGGCTATCATAATCTGTTATATTGACCAAGTCAGAGAGTACAACATCATTTGTGTTTGCATGTACTTTTAGATGGCAAAGAAATACTCAGTATTTATATAGCCTGTTGGTTCGGGTTGTTCAAAATTTGTTTTTGTTTCAAAAGGAGATGTTGTGTTGTTCAATAAATTGCCATAAACGCCTGACGTATCAAATATGATACAAAAAAAAATCCTATATGTAAATAATGACCAAATATTTGTTTGTTGTATTTTGTTAAAAGGTTCAATAAACACCTACATTTCAAAAGATTAGAATTTTCTGACTATTATTTGATGTGTCAGGCTTCATTTATTCTGCTGAGCTGCTCGCTAACAGACAGACAACTGGACCATTTAGACTTGATGTGTTGTAATAAGAAATGCTCCTTTAAGTCAGATTTACCGTCAGTTCGATAGAAACACTTTTGTTTTCTGACTCATCTCATTTCATTCAGAATAAAATCCCTTTAACACCAACTGTTCATCAAAATATATTTAGAAACATAAAACACATCATACCTGAACATCACACACCAGAGGAGGTGATCACTACTGCACACACACACACACACACACACACACACACACACACACACACACACACACACACACACACGCACACGCACACGCACACGCACACGCACACACACAGCTGCAGACACACCCTGTAATAACGCAGCTGTGACACACACACATCCAGTCACAGTGTGTGTGTGTGTGTTTGAGATAATTTCAGGTTTGCAGTGATTACAGTCTCCTCTTTAATTGAAAACAATTGTTGTTGTTCCCCGTCAACGCAGAGGAGATGCAGTTTGTATTTATTTCTATATATTTAAATGTTAACTCACGACAGATAAACTGTATCCTATAGGGTTTGCTGGCCGTGATTTAATAACAGTTTCCATTACACAGTTGTTCCACCAGGGGGCGGTAATTCATCGATTTCTACACTAAAATACACACTAATTATAATCCCTTTATTATTATTATTATTATTAATTGTCCTCCATATCATTTTATATGTTATACACACCTACTATCTCTCTGCCTTTCACACACACACTTTATCTCTCTCTCTCTCTCTCTCTCACACACACACACACACACACACACACACACACACCACACACACACACACACACCACACACACACACACACACACACACACACACTCTCTCTCTTTCTCTCTCTCTCTCTCTCTCTCTCTCTCTCTCTCTCTCTCACACACACACATACACAATCTCTCTCTCCTTTTTTACACACACACTTTCTCTCTCTCTCACGCACACACACAGATTTAATCCAACTAAGCTTTTATTGTCATGACCACATTATCCTGAACTTTGATGTAAACACCCCCCCCCCCCCCCCCTCTCCATCATCACCCAATGAGGCGCCGGTCCGTCGCTATAGCAACCTGTTGCCACGGGCGACGAGACACAGCAGCCAGCAGCATCTCCTCGAAGAGAGTCGGAGGCAGAGTGGCGAGCGAGCGAGAGGACAACACACACCTAGAGACACACACACTGAGAGACACACACACACACACACACACACACACACACAGAAACACACTAACACGAACTGATGAAGATGATGGTGAGGAAGAAGAGTTGTTCTCCTGAGGAAGAGTCGCCTCAGCGCCGGCCGTGAAAACGCCGCCACCGCAGGGTGAGTCCAACTTCCTGTGTGTGTGTGTGTTGTGTGTGTGTGTGTGTGTGTGTGTGTGTGTGTGTGTGTGTGTGTGTGTGTGTGTGTGTGTGTGTGTGTGTGTGTGATGGCGTATGGAGCCGGTCACACGCAGGAAACTGTCCTGTTTTGCTCTCTGCATGGAGAACAGAGTACATGTTGATCACGTGTTTTCTACATGTAGATTGTTAACATGTGAGAGAACACGTCTCTGATGATCTGAAGCCTTCAGAGAGAAGTGATGTTCGTCTGGTTCTGGTCTAAATATCTCTGCTGATGTTAAACGGAGCTGCTGGGAATCAAGAAACATCAGAAAGTGTTTTCTTACGTATCCGATCATCTGTACTGTCATTTATCGTGTCTTATTGTAACATATCGTATACAAATATAACGTATATTGTATCGTAATGTATCCTATCGTATGGAAATGCATTGGATCATATTGCGCCATAATGTAACGTATCGTAATATAACGTATCCTACCGTATTTGTATGTATCGTATCGTAATATAACGTATATCGTAATGTATCACAAAGAAAACCTTTAGAAAGTGATTCACAAAATGATAATAGAGATTACATTTGAAGAAGCTTTATCGGCATGTTGACGTCGCAGATAGAGTATCGCCAAACTAGTTGTTCAAGCAATACAGAAACAAACAAAAATGATCACAATGGAAGAGTGTGGCGATGAATCTGAAGACGTCCTGAGATCAGACCGAAGAGAATAAAAAGAGACGATGTCAGAATATTTATATCCACTCGTTTGAACTGCGTTTATATTTAGATATATATATATATATATATATTTATAGATCAGAGGACTGGAGGATGGAAATAACTCTAAATAAAAGCTATTTTTATATTGACTTTATATAATGTGAATCAGTTTCTATCAAATACTTAAAACAACAAATCCTCCAGTGATCCTTTGCTATGTCAATAATACAAACAACAGATCATCATCATCATTCACAAACACACTGAAACACACTTTAAACAGAATAACATGTTGAGTTAGTTTGAACTCCTCCTGAGGACTTTCCTTTATATTTAAGAAACGTAATAGAGTAACTGAACTACATGTTTTATGATATAATAACTTCTGCAGATAATAAATGATTGATCACTAACTGTGATATGGTTTTTAGCGGACTTGACAATGTGTTCGAACAGTTTTTTTGGTGTACTTTATCGGTCTTCTCAGTATGTATTCTCTGTTTTACCGTCAGAGAATATCTTTCATTCCTTGAAATGCGTCTCAAAAATACAATGCATTACTATTATTCACAGTAATACACTTAAAGGTGGGGTAGGTAAGTTTGAGAAACCGGCTCGAGATACACTTTTTGTTATATTCCATGGAATGCTCTTAACATCCCGATAGCAATGAATATCTGAAGTGCTTTGACAAAAAATCCATTAAAAAATATCATCTGTGGAAGCCGTGGTACTGTAAAAAGCACGACCAATCATCTGAGCCGGGCCGGCTAAAGTAACTGGATGGCCTACCTGCCTGTCAGCCTTCCATCTGTGCACAAACTTATCTCGTGCCCTCATTGGTCATGTGCGCGTTCGTGTGTGTTGGAGGAGTGGCTCTGTAAGGAAGTGGCAGATTTTCTCCGGTTGTGTATTTTCAAATTCTAGCGCACTCGAGCTGGTTTCTCCGAAATTACCTACCCCACCTTTAAAGGTCCTAGATGTGGGGGAAACGTCTGAAGCAATTGGAAACAGGACTCAGAGAGACGAGGAGAGCTGGAGCTTTGATGGCAAACACTGACGGTTTATTTGAAGCTTCGGCCGGAGAATTGACAAGACATGACACGAGCCACGAGTTGACCACACGGATGAGATGCCACAACCAATTCTGAAGAACTCTTTCTGTAGCTCGAGGTTTTAACTAGTTCGGAGTGTAATAATCAACATTCTTCATCAGTGAGACTAAAGCATTATGGACCCTGAATCTAACTAGAGCTCTCGTCCATAGGAAATAATGTGCGCCAGGCAACCTTCGTCCCTGAACAGTAAACTACCTCATGGCGGCTTGTGCTCTGTCATAGACTGGCAACAACAACGCGCCCAAGCTGCTCCTCCTTAAGAGAGATAGCAGCAGAACCCCAGGCCGTAGACCTATGCCGTGGGAAAGGAGACAGTGAGAGGAGAAAATGATGAACTGTGTCGAAGGTTGAATACCTAAGCAAATGATTCCCTAACACTAGACGTTTGCTTAACTAATGTTAAAGTGATCCAGTTAGAGTTCTGTGTTTGTTAACCACTGCTAACCGGAGCTGATGTAATTATTCAGTGTACCATTTAATTCAATACTTTCAATATCCCTAAATATATTTAAATATAAAGAGAATAGTCTCGTTGTCCAGAAGCCGACGACTGGTCCACGTTCATCAGTAAGACTAGAGAACTGAGAACTTCCACACGTTCAATATAAATACCATCATTACACACTCTGCTATACAACATGTGCAATATTATTATTATTAATAATGTTCTATAATTACGTGCAATTAAGTATCTGCTACTACGTTTTTTTGCACTGCTCGTCACTGTAAAGTATTTTACATTAATGATGTGACCGTCTGTGTTTCCTGTAGATATTGAATTGCTCTCTTTACTGCACTGTTAGTACAGTTTTATTATCATGCTGCTGAGTTTGTTGTGTTTTTGTAACTCTGGAACAACAATTTCCTTGGGGATAAATAAAGTCCTCTCTTATCTTAACTTATCTTATCTTATCTCTCATCAGAGGAGTCTTCTTCTTCTGTGGTGGTGGTTGAATTGAAACCCAGTGTAATTTGGTCGTACCTGCAGAGATGACTTATTGACGAGCTGTCAGATATCGCCGTGGCAACATCACTTCCCTTGTTAGGAGCCGCGGGTCGGCGTCTCAAATCAATGCGTTTCACTGTCGGTCCGCAGTAATGAATGTGATTTACATTTAAACTGCACACACACACACACACACACACACACACACACACACACACACACACACACACACACCACACACACACACACTCACACTCACTCACACTCACACTCACACACACACACACACACACGCACACACACACACACACACACACACACACACACACACACACACACACACACACACACACACACACACACAGGAAAAGCCTCTGTTTATAGACCCAACTGAAAGGGATATTTAGCTGAAGCAACATCATGGACTAAAAACAGAAAATGTTTAATGAAGAAAAGTCTAAATTAACTTTCCCACGTCTGGCCCCCCATGTGAGGCTCTCTGAATCAGAGGTTTGTAGAAAGTCAAAATTGGGATATTTTGAGATAAAAAAATAATTAAAAAAAATCTGAATTCTGAGATTTCAGAACATTTAAATTGTTTTTGAGATTTTCATAAAAAATATAGATTTTTGAGATTTGAGACAAAATAGTCACATTTTTAAGACGTCAGAATATTTAGGTTGTCAGAAAAAAGCTTTGATTTTGAGAAAAAGTCAGCACCCTCTTTTCACCCTCTGTCTGAAACCAGAGCCCAGTCTGCTCTGATTGGTTAGCTGGCCGGCTCTGTTGTGATTTGTCAACCAGCTCAGAGATGTCCCGCCCCTTAGCCTATCACGTGTTGGAGTGATAGCCAATAGGAGCAGGATGGTTATAAAGCAGGGGTGGGCAAACTTTTTGGTTCGGGGGCCACTATGAGTTTTAAAATTTGACAGACGGGCCGGGCCAGTAGCAGATCGGTAAAAAAATATTTAGCTGTCCGCTCCTCATTATACACTCGGCACTCAATGTTGACTTTCCTTTTCTTTGGTCCACTCATTGTTACAGATGCAGGTTCAAAGGTGAATTAGGTTCAAAGGTGAATTATTGCGTCATTGCGTCATCGTTTGCGTCATGACGTAACCGTTTACGTGCCTTCTTATTAAACACACAGCGTTTTACGTCGCTGATTTTCTCCGCAACACCGCTCACAACAACATCAATAGAGGACTGCGTCGGGTAATTTTTAATTATACGAAGCCAGATTAAATTAAAGAACTACTTCTCCAACCTTATACTTTTCTCCAGAGTGCCGTGGTGCATTGTTTATTAATGTGGTTCAGCTGCATTACTGCCTGCTGCAGTGCTGCTCGTCTACCGGAGTTTATTCTCCCGTTAACTCGCGGCAGCGGTAGCGGCCGCTGGAAAGTTTTCACTGTCTGACTGTCACACAAGCAGCTGATAAATATCCCCCATCCCCATCAGTGAATGTGTTTTAGTCTGAAAGCTGTTTGGCATCACAACGCTGTTATGAACGTTTCTCTGGCATTCTACAGGTGATGTTAGCATAGCAACCAAAGCTAATCAGACTATCTTGACTACTTGTTGCTATCATATTGTGGCATAAGCCGTTTTCTACACACATATTTTACCGGCGTAGTTTTCGTTATGATTTTACTTGTGATGGCCACATGTAGCCCATGTATTGATTCCATCCGATAGCTGCAATAATACAAAACAAAAGGAAAACGTCTTCCTCTTCACAATGGTCAATAACAGTGAACGGATGGATGGTCATTAAAGTAAGGTAAAATAAACAGAATCACACTAAGCCTGGTTAGTGTTGCCCTGACTTTATATAAGTGTTTTTTATAAGTGTGTGGTCGCGTTCTAGTCACTTTGCTCAGCGCTACTGCTTGTTACAACTTGTATTCGCCGTACTCGCCATGAACTGTTATTGCTCAGGATAATCTCGACCTCCTCCAATGTAAGCGTGAAGTATTTGGTTCTTGCCGGGTTGCCGAGTGGGGCCAGCTGAGAGAATAGACCAGACTCCAGCAAAGGTAAATTGTGTCTAGAGTGCACCATCTAGTGGGATCAACTGAAATGCCGGGTATTGCAGGAAAAAGGCAAAATGAATGCGGTCTTTACTATAATTTGGACAATTTTGTACCAATATTCGGCGGGCCGGATTCAAAAGCCCAACGGGCCGTATATGGCCC